TCAATATTGGTTGTGTTTGCGTTTTGCTTGTCTACTTTATAAGCGTTTTAATGAGGCGCTCAAGCAACGCCTAGGAACACGTCACAACGTATTGCGTAGCTCATCCCGATTGGAAGAAAGCAGCGAGTGCTCTAGAAAATTTGAGTCTCATGTGGCTTATGTTACAGAGTTTGCATGGTATAAACGAGAGTTCTGCAATTCATATTCGGATATTTGTAGTGATTACGAGATTTTGGAATTCATACGCCGTCTATACGCGGACTTGGATGCGCTAATGGAGCAAGTGGCTAATGTTTTCGGTTTCATATTGTTGCTCCACTTTTTGGGTTCACTTTTTGCTTTATCCATTTATGTTTTTGAGATTTACAAAAGTTTTCACACTTCTGAGCCGGGCAAAATACTTTGGCAACTACAACATTTGGCCCGCATTTTCTTAATACTAATCGCAAATAATGCAATTGTAGAGGAGGTGAGCGAGACGTAGTTACATTTTTGTTTGTTTAACTTTTATTTGTTTTTTTTTTGTTTTTTTTTTTAGAAGTGTCGCACTCCACTTGTGCTTAACGAGATAAAAATTTCAACGGAAGATATGGAACATGCTATCAATCGCTTTCTACTACAAATGATGGCACGAAAGCCAACGGAAATGGCGTGCGGTGTAGTTGAGTTGGATTTGTTGCTGCTTACAGGGGTAGGTAAATACATATGTAAACAAATTTGGTGGTACTAGACTGACTCGCGGAGAAAATTTAGTTGTGTGGGGGATTCACAAAACATTTTAAGCGTCCGAATATTCCCAATGAAAATGGCTTTAGGGGACTCGGGGGGCAAGTTAAGAACTAACGAATTACAAATATATTTCCTATCATTTTTTTCAAAACTCGAAGAAAGGAAATTTAGCTATATCTCGAAAACTGTTCTACTCTCTTAATATCTGCTTTCATATTCGGATTCAGGGACAAATTTTTCATAGGAAATGGCAGTCAAATGCCACAGGTGAAAATCACTGTAAACTAGTGTTATAATTATTTGCCATCGGTTGTAATTTTATTCACATCTATATGTACAACGCCATTTTTCTAACATCTGGATTTATTAACAGTTTTAATATTTCTTTTTTTACTTTCTTGCAGATTTTATGTACAGTAACCAACTGTGTAATGTTTCTCATACAGATTGATCTAAGCAATAATTCATTTGAGAAAATGAATAACGATTTTGTGACAGCAAATAATACAAATTGATCTGGTATAATGTAATCCTCTACGTTAGTTCCTGTATAAGTAGACAGACACCTAAGGACAATAAAAACTCATTTATATATATTTTGAAGATATTTATCAAAAATAAAATTGTTTAATAAAATTCACTAGTTGCAATCTATGTATGTATGATTGAACATATTGCTAATGAAATTAAGGAAGGATCGAAATGATTTGTTATCATCGAAATAACGGTTTTTGCATTTTAAGGCTGTGTGTGTGTGTGTGTTTTTGTGGGTTTTTGGCGGACCTATAAATTATAGTTGCGATGAAAAAATGGCTAAGTAAGCAATTGGGTATTATTATAGGGATCGAAAAATATTGATTTTTAACTATTCTATACCATTTCTACGAAAAATAGTTTTTTCCCCATTTAAAATACATGGAAAACTTTGGGCGCTCTGAGCGACCTCCAAGTATTTTTTGATTTCAAAATAAAAAAATAAGGGTATATTTTTTCGGTATAGAACAACCTTAGGGGGTGAGAGCATAAAAATGATGACTTTACTCTTTCACATGCATTTTTGGACAACCCTAGGGAACAAACTAAGTGTGTTTTAATTTTTACAGCGGACATTCGCGGCGAAAAATTCGCCATTCCCTGGCATTGTGTTTCAACGGTAACTTATATTCCTTTTTTGGTAATTATTGTTTCCGACAGGGTGGGTGCATGTACTATTTTCACTGAAGAAAATTATTAGTTTTTAATTTTTAGTAAAAAGTATCTTTTTGCATGGATAATAGCAACCCATTTCGACTAAGACTAGAAATTTGTTTTCTAAATTTAGCTAAATGAGCCAATTAGACCGCCCAATCTGCTGATAAAACTTATATTTTATGGTTAGGTTAGGAAAGCAGTAACATCTTTAGTAATTCATAGTAATGTACATACCCACTAGGAAAATATGTGAGCACCTTACAAGGTAATCTATATTTTCCCTCAGCTTTTAGTAGAAAAATTGTCATCATGAGCAACGCCATCTATTAGTACAGCACAAAATGAACATCTCCGATGACCTCTTACGTTGTAAGTTGCAAAATAACGTGCCGCCAATGTTACTATTTCTGAGCGACTGATGTAGTTACATTTTTCATGCTTTATTTGCTAAAGTGGCTCAGAAGTATGTCTGATTCCAAATGTTCATAGTACATTCTAAAATCCTACTTTCCTAACGCGGCCGCGCATTTGGTCAGGACCGCCGGGTGAAGTGTAACTTGCGGGTAAGGTGTTATTACGCGCACTTATTTCCTACGGGGTATTTTTGTATGTGCACATCGGTCATTTACTTCAATAGTGTCATGATCCCAAATATCTGTTATTCTATGTTTTGTTACAATTTCATAGTTGTATAGCTGTCGATTAAAAAGAGCTCATTAAATAGAACTATTAGAGGATATCGATGGCTGAGCGGAAGATCCACCTATCTTGGCAGCCAGTTCGAAAACGCTCTATCTCAAAAAACTTTTCAAGAACACCCTACTTCAGAATTTAATTGAAAAACACCCTATCTCAAAATTCGGTTCAAAAACGCCCTATCTCACTTCAAAATATATTGAAAATATGCTGATATAGGGCGTTTTTGAAACGAGTTCTGAAATAAAGCGTTCTTGAAAAGTTTTTTGAGATAGAGCGTTTTCGAACTGGCTGCCGAGATAGGTCGATCTTCCACTCAGCCATCGATATGTAAATTCAAAAGTTTTCTATTTTTCTCGGGTTTTTGGTTTTTTGTTTGAGTTATGGCATTGCTGAAGTAAATGAGCGGTATGTAGTTATTTATTTGTGTAAAGCAATTATTCATTAAAAATTTATGGATGGTTGACAGATAATTTGGCATGCACAGAAATCATTAACACGCTTTAGTTCGAGTTAATGAGTGAATAGACAAGTAAATATGTAGACTGTTTTTGTTGAGTTAAAAATATGGAAAACATACTTTCGTGTAGCTCAGCAATGCACTTGAGGATATTTAAATAGTTTTGATACTGTTCTACTTTAGTAACATTCACTCAATTCACGCATGTACTCCTGTAAATAAAACTTTTAAAAAAGAAATTTTAGGTTGCACATAATACAAGGTACAGGGGCTAATGTAGGTAAAAATTTAGATTTGTTGTTACTGAATGCAAAAGCAAAATTAATTTGCGATTTAAAATTATAATATACATACGTATGTATATATGTAGGTAAGAGGTATATGTATCTCGAAACAAAATATATACATACGTACATAAGCTCTTTTTTATTTTTCAGCCAAAATCGTGGATAAGGACAAAAATGCGTGATTCCTGTTCTGGTAATAGTATAGCGAATACTATTTTGTCTTGTTTTACACGTCTCCGGCTATGAATTCGATTTTAGAGTAGGACTACAGATTTTCGTTTTCGGGACAACTATCCAGATGATGTGAGATTAGTGCAAAAACGTTAGATATGGCGTAAGGAAACCGATTAACTTCGTTTGGTGATTAGCTGTTAGTGTTGGTTGATTCTTCCGACAGGGCGAGAAGTTAAATTATTTTGTAAAAAATTTCCATCATACCTTGTTGTTGTTGTAGCACTGCTTAGGGTTGGATGACCCCTTGTCATCAAGCTTAACTAACGGACCTAGGAAACCTGCTATTTCGATGGGGTTAACCTATAGGGAGAGGGGTATTAATGAAGTTGGGCTGACTGGGCATGTGAAGAGGTGGTTGGTGTCATGTTGGGTAGCTTCACTTGCCGAATATATGCATGTATGTACATGTGTCCATTATGTACTTCAGCGTCTAGTCTGTATAGGTAGGAGTTTAATTTACTATAGTATACAGACTGGAGAATATAGGGGGACCCGCGGTACTAATTTCAAAATGACCCGGATGGACGGTATCGAAAAAAAAATTTGCTGGCGGGAAAAATTGAGCAACAGCTTCAATCAAAAATTCCACGATAAGTCCCGGCTACTCCAAACTTTTACTTTGTTATAATAAAATTGAATGGGCTACAAAATTGCATACTAAAAATATTTCTAAGAAATCTAATTAAAGAGCTTAAAGTTTGCTGATTTTTGTTTTTGATTTATACGGGTTTCGTTAAAGAATAAGCTATATTTTTATAAAAAAATTCATATTAAATTGCAAAAAAAAAAATTATTTTTTAAAACTTCCAATATGTGCTGCGCTTATAATTTTGGCATGGGGTGTACTTTCCTTAAAAGTCTCTTTTTGTCGGTATGATTATCTCGGTTGTATCTTTGTCTCTTTAGCTTATTGAATCCAAAAATGCACTTCAAAGACTTGCCCCCAAAACACAGGGGCGAAAGGACCAAGTCTCAAACCAGCGCTTTTTTCAAACTGATCGCCACACTTAATGTAACGGGCCAATTTTTCGGAGTAGCGCCGATTTTAGACTCACCACGCGAGAAACGTCATGTCTTACGATGCTTTCATTATATTTGGTGTGCCATCTTCGTAATCTATATTTATGGCGTGAACGTTTACTACGCCTATCAACCCCACGAACCACTCGTCAATATCGTTAAATTATTTTTTATAAGCGAGCTTTTCAGCAGCCCTATAATTGTGTCCTTAATAGTCATCACTACACATTGTCATGCCGAAAAATATCATCATATACCACGTGAGCTTCTGCGTATCCATAGGCATTACAAAAGCTTGCAACCGGCGAATGCCCGCATTGGGAAGGACCTCTTTTCTGTGCTCCAAAAGGAAGTGCGACTGCTGCTCTTCATTGTATGTCCATTCTTACTATGTTGCTTGATTGTTGATTGTATGCGCACGCACCCCGATTTCGTTCATTGGTTGCTCAGCTTAAGCATTTTTCATTTACCGAATATTCTGATAACTCTCAATTTAGGCCAATATTGGTTAGCGCTACGTTTCTTGTGTCGACTGTATCGTGGTTTTAATCAGATATTGAAGCAACGATTGCAAAAAATTAGTTCGAGCGATTTAAGCGGTGGCGTTGAAACAAATGCTGGTGATACCTGCGCAAGCGAATTCTTTTGGTATCCGCGTGAATTCTACAACACACACCACCCAGGCGGGATAAATGATGAGTGCAAACTTTTGAAGGCTATACGTGGATCATATGGCGATTTGGATGCGTTGAGAGCACAATTGACAAGCTTGTTTGGACTCGTATTACTTTTAATATTTCTCGGCTCGCTACTCAGTCTAACCGTGGAATGCTTTGCTGTTTATAAATTTCTTGATTGTGAAGATGCTGCGGCGAACGAGTTGGCAACGGTATATCAGAGGTTATTGAATATTTTAATTCATATTGGACGCATATTTCTTATTTTAGTCACTAACAATGCGATCATTGAAGAGGTAAGGTGCTGTAATATGAGAAAATTTAAGAGGTAAATTATACTAAGGAATATGGTTTATTGTTTTTTTTTGTTAGAAATGCCAAACTTCATTCACACTAAATGAGTTGCATATTACATCCGAAGAAATGGAACATGAGGTCAATCGCTTTCTAATTCAACTCATGGTTCATCAGCCAGCAGAAATGGTTTGTGGGATAGTAGATTTGGATTTATTAGCTCTAGGTGGGGTAAGTGAGAAATTTAAATATGTATGTAGGTACATATGTATTTACATACATACTGATTAGGAATGTTAATTCTAAAACATCAACCGTAGTTTTTAGCCATTTGAAACTTGTGTACTTTGTTCTACTAGAATTCAATCGGCTACAAAACTGCATACTCAGAGTCTTTCTAGGAAATCTGATTGAAAAAGTTAGAAATTTTTACGAAAGTTTGTTGATTTTTTTTCTAAATATTGCACAAAGTTTGAAACTTGGAATTACACGGGTTTTGTTAAAGAATGAACTATATTTTTTATAAAAAAAGCAACCAAAATTAAATAACAACAAAAATAATATGTTAAAATTTGTCAAAATGTGGTGCGGCTACAATTATTTCGACCACTGTATGTATATAAGATATATATGTATATATTAGAGTGCATCGCTTTCCACACTGTTTTTCCATCGGAATTATAAAATCTATTATACTTTGACACTTCCGCCAAACTAAAAAAATATATAATGATTTACTACGGGTCGATTTGATTATACCTCCAAAAATTAAGTTTTTTTAATTAAAATTAGTTTGAAGTAATAAAAAAAAATTAAAAAACCAGCTTTTGTTAGTGGTTAATAAAAAAGAAAAATCGACACGCGCCCCACCTAACGGCTAAATTTTATTTATTTACATTGAACTTATATACATTTTAAATATGAACCAAATAATGTTTTATGATGTTATTCCTTTTAATGTCAGTACTCGTAATATGAACCATATCGGACCATATATACGGGTTTATCAAATATATGGACACCCGCGCCACCTTGCGGATTAATTCCTCTTTCAAATTGCATTGTAATCGGGTTCTGGGATAAATTTGAAGTTTCAGGTGAAACTTTATAAAAGCTTTTAATAATATTTTTTTCCAAAAAGTTTCTTCATATGAAAGGAGAGTTTAAGCGTAGAAATTATAACAACGCTTTCAAAATAATGAGGTTTTTGGAGTTATTTTCAAATCGGTCCAGCTCAGGTAAATATTAATATTTTTCCGAAATATTATGGCGGAAGTCTTAAGATGTATCGCACGTTTATTAATATACAGAATTATTTCAAAATTTAAATTTTGTGAGAAAACGCTATCAAAGTTTGAACAATTCATACAGTTGGTATACCAAAAGACAGAAAGAAAGGCACATATCTTCGCCATTTTTGGGAAGTTTAGTCATTTGTTTGGCTAAACATATTCTACTTATCAAAATTATTGGTTGTATGATGAAATCTCCAAAAACGTAAATTCTGAATTACATCTCTATATTATTAAACGTGCGATATTAAGTTTTAAGATTTCGGTAAAAAAACCAAATATAATTTGGGGTTAGTGAGGCACCCTTATGTTCATACAACCTTCAAAAAGTCCATTCTGCTCAGGTGAAGTTCCGTGAATTGTCATCAAAATATTCATTAGTCTTCTTTTATATAAATAACTATAAAAAACTAACCAACAAACTTCTTCTGTGAGTTTCCGAAATAGGGACAGGCAGAAGCAAAGCAAACGATAGGCACCCTTATTCGTAAAAGGGCGGCAGGAGAACTGATAATATTGAACTTAAACGCGGTCACATTTCCGCCACCTGCAGGCTTCGCCTCCGTTGGTTGGTACCGGCTTCATCACCATCGCAATAGTTCAGAAACGAAACCCTCTACATTTTGCAATAATGCAGTCTTCGTTGACCCCGTCCAACCTTATTTAACGCCAGTAGCTTGTATTTTTCCGAACGGCTAGTTTCCCGTCTTGCTTGTAAAATAAATACACTGCACGTGTGCCTTTTATGAAATAGGCCCCTGCCTCATATATACATTTGTGGACGTTGCATATCGCCTTTACCTTTAGCTGAAAAGGTGCCAAGTCCATTTTTTCAAAGTTTAGTTTTTGATGCAGAATGGCAAGTAATACCAAACTACATTGATTTTTCGCCTCTCGTGAACAATTTCAAAAAATGGACTTGGCACCTTTTCGCCCTTACAATACGACATATGTAATTCTACATAAAAGCTTCATATGTACACATTTTATTTCAAAACAGATTGGTGGAATTATGGCCAACTACGTTATATTTCTTATTCAAATCGATTTGGGCAACATAAATATGGATGAAAATAATCAAAACATTACAGCAATACCAGGAGATAGATTTAGTTTATAAATCAACAACAACTACAATTTTTTCAAACAGCACGAGATTGAATATCCATTCATTGTCAGCTTTGTAAACAAAAATAAAATAAAAGAGTCACCAATGGCTATCTTAATGTAATCTAAATGCAAAAAGCATTGCACGCATCCTGCTTAATTATTTTTTTATATGTATGTACATCGCTTGGTCAAATAAAGAAAAAAAAAACAAATTTTAACGCTACACATAGCAAGACATATATTTAGCACAGTTGGACTCACATAAAGCTGAATTATTCACTCGTCAGTTTTTTGTCAGTTGGCCTTTTAGTGCGCCATAGTCAATATGCTACGCTTAAAGTTGTTGCGAGAACGTGCCAGACGCTTTCTAAAACTGCAATTCGTGAAGACCTGGCGTATCTTGCTTGCCTGTTATTTTGCAATCCGCACTGCATTTGCATGGGGCGCCGAAAAATTGCACGCTTTCGGCGAGGACCTGGGTGAAGAGACAGGCATATTGGCGATAAGTCTGATTGCAAATCGGCGTATACATCCAATCGAGCGGTAAATTTCTTGTTCACCCGTCTATATGTACTGGTTTTCATTATTTTAACACTCCGACGTATGTATGTAGATTCCTTTGGTTCGTCATTGTTTTTGTATCCACATTTGCTGCGATACAGATAAGTGGTCTACAGTTGAAGCGTTATACCAATTCGCCGACAGTTATCTCGGTGGATCGTGATTATCGTGGCTGGCATGGCCCGATGCCAGCTGTTACGCTCTGCTATTACGACCATATTGACTCCTTCAAAGCGAATGAGTATATACAGAATCACTGGAATGTGTCCATTGTCGATGATGACTACTTCTATTTTATGGATTTCCTTCAAGCTGTCGTCAATGCAACAGCTAGTAGCTACGTAGATTTAGCGCGTTTCGCCGAAGATGAACGTTTCGATGATGTCGATCTGTCGGAGCTTGTGCTCGCAATATATAGACCCTTTGAACAGGCATTGACCAGTTTCGATAAGCAAAATGCTACAATCAAAATAATGCCAGTTATGACGGAACGTGGATTTTGTTATGCCATAAATTCGCCAATGTCGGAAATATTGGCTGGCAGGTAAACAGGTGGTATTTAATACGAAAGGAATGGAATTTGTTTATATTAAAAAAAAATAAAATGTCTATGCCTCCTTTGCTCGTTTTAGAAGCATTGATTACAAGGATATGATACGACCATTATCCTGTGAATATGGCAAACAGCAGTGTTTCATTAAAATGGACTTGTACGAGAGTACGGGCACAGTGAGTGAAATTTTAGGATCGCTGAATGCTAAAGCAATTTACTATAATTTCGCCTAGGTCGATGTTCATTCGCCATTTGAGGTCTCAGCAAGCGATGCTAACATTATACCGCTGCATAAATCTGATGAAATAATTGCCTTCTTCAAAGTGCTCGAAACGGTGTAAGTAAAGCAGCATTCACAGGGGACGAATTTTGCAACGATTCAACAACGCCTGAAAAGTTTAAGGCGATTTTATCTATCAATCTATTAAATTGAAACACAATTTACAAAGGCGATGTGGTTGAAAGCGATGTTGAATCGCTTAGAAAATCGCCTCGCGTAAATGCTACATGAAGACTTCGAAGGACCTCGAAAACTCTGATTAGTAATATAAAACTTATTTTAGCGCTTCAGACAATTTGCGTGATCTGGATGTGGACCAAAGAAAGTGTGTCTTTCATGATGAGGAGACATCGCAATTGAAGGTAGTTGGTTTTTGGAAAAAACTTTATGAATGCTCCTGGAGAAATTCTCGTTTTTACTTGGATTTAAAATCCATATTTTCAGGTATACAGTAAGAGTTTGTGTTTGGTGCGTTGCCGAGCTGTTATGGCTCTGGAGATGTGTAATTGTGTGCCATTCTTTTACGCTTTTGTAGGTAAGTTGTCTTGGATCAGGTTGAGGAAGCTTGCACTAGTCTTGCTCAAAGACACAAATTCCGACTGGTAATACCCTCTGTGAGGCTTGAGGTGCCACATTGTACCATTCACTCCATTTTATTATGTTGGCCTGACCACAACAGGGGTGTCCAATGTTCGTTCTTTACTGGGGGACATGTCCATACACACCTAATTACAACTTTTCAGGTGTAGCTTTCGACACATGCTCAAATGGGCTTAGCGTCGAGTTTGGTTTCTTATCCAGTATGCGTCTCAGATAGTTTACAGATTAACTGATCTTAAGTTTAATACGTTTTAGTAAATAGCATAAGCTCTATTTTGTTGGGGATTATTCCTAGGTGGCGCAAATTTCCAACTTGCGACTATTGTCACGTCGTCAGCATAAAGACGCCTCTGATTAGTTGGTTTACTGCCAAGACCCATTTGAGAGGAAATAGGACTCACCCTTGGGGCGTAGCCATGTTGTCAAATCTGTTCGTCATATAAGTCTGAACAGTTGACCTAAAAGCGTCACCAGTCACGAGTGACTGGTTGTGATTGGGTGCAGTTTGGTCGTATTAAGGACTTCCGGTTTTGACAGGGAGGTGGTTAAACTGACCGCAAGTCTATTTTTTTTAATGGCATATACGTACATGTTTTTTACCGGAAGGTGGTAATACGACCAAAAGATAGAGCATCCTCGACTTGGTAATTCATATTTTTTCGTTTTCCAATAAAACATTTTCCATCATTTCAGAAGCCTAGGACCAGTTGGAGTGCGAGGGTCGCTTAGAGGGTGAAAAACGAACTTCCGAGAAAAAAGTTTCAAACAAAAGTAACGCATTTTTTTATCATCAGAGTCCGAATCTGTGGTAAAAACATGTATAATTTAAAAAAAAAGTGGACTTCCGGTCAGTTTAACCTTCTTCCGGTCGAAACCGTGGGACGGTAATACCACCAAGAGAAAAAGCATTTCTGATTTGGTAGGTCATACTTTAGCATTTTTCCTCCATTTTAGAGAGGGTGGACTGGGGAACCCTGTATATTCTCCGCCTTGAGGGATGAATACAACTTTTGGCTATATGCCAATGTTTGTTGCAGTTGAAGCGTTGGTACCTCCTTCTGGCCCCGGGGGCCTTGTGTAGCTTCAAGGTTTTAATGGCCGAGGAGAGAGTTTACTTTATTATGGGCCCTCGGTTTACCAAGTACTGTTGTAGAGCTACCCCTTCATTTCGTAGAGTCTAAGATATAAATATAGGGCTGCGATTTTTTAAATATCAACGCTGATCAGAGATTCTCAGAGCCAATTCATTTTTACTCACTATTTACTTCCTTTTTTAATATATTTATGAAAAATGTAGATAACTTTTTCTGCGTCTTCACTTCACTACATACTATTTATTTACCTAATTTGATTTTGATATTTTCTTATTTTTTTTTGTAGAAGGTCCCAGTTGTAATCCTGCTGGTTTTGAATGCCTACTGGACTTTAAATGGCCCATTTGGGCATTACATATTTGCAAATGTCCAAGTACTTGTACAGAAATAGAATACACTGTACAAACTGTGAAAAAGAGTTTTTGGTAATTATACAAAGATACAAACATACACATCGCACACCTAGATCTAATCAGCGATCAACTCAAAAAAAAATTTAGCAAATTTAGATTTTTTTTTCCATAAATAGGATTTACCTCCAATTGATGCAAATATTTTTTCATCATGATTATATAAATTAAGTAAAAAACTACCGTTTTTGTATTAATTGCATTGAATCTGTATGATTCACAAGCAGTTATATTTTTGAGTTCATTTTATCTTAGGCTCAGGGGTTTACGACGAACCTTTTTTGTTTATGTAAATTGGGGTGGTCCGTAAAAATATCAACAACATGAGGCATACCTATATTTCATTGTACGTACAAAGTAAAAATATCCACGAGCATTTCTAAATTAAACAAATTTTTGGAAGTCGCTACCAAGAGTTGAAAAAAATGGTTTTTTTTTTACCGGAAAATTCCAAAAATTCTCATCATCAGACTCATCGAATAAGTTTCAATAAAGCGTCACATTTATTAGATTTCAAGTCACAATTTTGTCGAAGGTCTAAAAAATCTTTTTTTTAAACCCTGGTTGCGACCCCAAATTTTTTTTTACTATTTTGAAATTTTCGTGAATGCCTTTATTTTGCACTTAGAACAAACTAAAGGGGTGCCCAATACAAAATTTAGATGTTGACATTTTTAAAGATCCGCCCTAATGCAAATACATACAAATGTAAACAATAATAAATATACATAAATATGTAACTATTTCGACATTTTCAGGGGCATCAATATGAATGAAGAAATCGTCAATACAGATTCAGTGACTTCCAGTTTCCGCTGGAATCTAATACCACCGAAAGTACGCATGCGACGAGACGTCGTCTTTAGCTTCGAAGACTTATTGGGTACGTAGAAAAAAAAAATGTAGTATTTGAGACTAATAAATTTTTGTTTAAAATATCTATAAACACTTTCTAAATGCAATACATTCTCTCGATTCTTACCATTACAGTTTCATTTGGCGGCACTTTGGCTCTCTATCTGGGCATTTGTCTAATATCCATTGTACGCTTTGGCTATGTGAGCACCTATCATTTGATATTGGTGTTTGTGGAGTTATTTGTTTGCGTGAAGGACTATTGCGCGCGCTGCATGAAAGTTTTAAAACGGAAAAAGTCCACGACATTAGTGCGGGAAAGATCGAGAAATTGTCTGACTCTACACAAAAAGCGTCAAAAATTAGTCGCTGTGCACACTAACGATCTTAATACTCGTACTATTGAGAGGCCTGAATTCGAATACATCAATTGAAAGAATGAGTAAAGGCAACAGCGAAGTAAAATACTGAGTTAAAATTGTTGCAAGAAATATATATTTGGAATGTGCATTCTTTTCAACTGCTACCTGCTTTTTTTATTAATAATCTTTAAATATTATTTCAGATATTTAGTTGGTTGTTGCTTAGGCGTTTTTCTTCAAAATGTGGGCTAGTAAATTTATTTTTTGACGCAAACACGTCGATCATGATTCAATGAGTGAATTTTTAAGAAACTAAATTTTACTAAGTAGAAAGGTTTCAAAGTTAAGTCGCCTAATCTTGGAAGAAACCCGCAGTAAAGGAAATTTGGAGAGCGAAAATTTGACTTGCACGTTTTACTGGATTTTTGCTGGCTAAGTTTTTACTAACTAGTAACTATGTAATTCACACTAATAAAAAAAATGTTTGTTTGTGTTTTCGCGGCGCCTAATTAGAACGTTTTCGTTGGCTAATGCAAAAATAGCGTTGAAAGGCAAAAACTGTTTGCAAACGAAAAAATTATGAGTTTAGGTTGAAGCGAATGGAGAGAAGAACCCTTCTCACACATAGACCAAAAGTAATAGCGCTATGATACCGATGGTTTTTATCTCCACCTGTGAGATTTCTGCGAGGATTTCTTTAATTTACAGTCTTGTGTCGCGCGCATTTTTTTTGTTCTAGGAGGCCCTCCTCGCTGCTCAACAGAACGAAAGAGTTTTCAGGTTCATTGGCTAAATGAGATTCTGTAAATCACATCTACTTCGTTCAGAGATAGATGTAGACATTCCACAAGGGAATTTGCATTGTCTATGTATGGGCGTAAAGTTTTGAGGGCTGCCTGACTGCCACAGAATATAAAGACTCGTTTGCGGCTCTCGGATGGCTAAAGATTCCCATGAACCGTATTTTTTTCTTACTGGAGAATGCGAAATCAGAGCTATAGTTAACCATCGAATAAGTAACGTTACTTTTCTTGCTCCTGTTTTTTTGTTTTTGTTTTTGACAAAGAGAATGTTTGGGAATAACTGTCGAAACTTTGCAACGGAAGAAGTTTATTCGTCTCGACCATTTCCGATTATTTAAATAAAGAAAACGTCCCTTTATTACGACTAGTGTTGCCAGATTTTTATTCCAGCCGTACGAGACAAATGCATAATTTGTCCCAAAAATACGGGATTTACAAAAATTTAACGAGACAAAGGAGAAATTAAGGATATGCTTTAAAAGCCCAACTATTAACAAAGGTGATCCATTTCTGCGAAGTACTTAATACTCAGATTAGTTAAAAGCTTATGATAAATTTCGTTTCTTTCAAGGCAACACTTTTTAATTTTTACAAAGATATGTACCTATGTACGTAAACATATAATTGACAAAACTATAAAAACAAAGTAAGAGATACAGATACAATTTATCTTTATTTATTTATTGTTAATAATTTTCATTTAAAATATGGGTCGATCTATATCAGATACCACATAAATAAAGATTTCAAAACTTGCAAAAAGTTCATAAAAATTATTTAAACTTAAACAAATTTTCATAAAAATTTCAATATTTTTAATTAGATTTCCTAGAAAGATTGCGGTTTTATAGCCCATTCAATTTCAGTACAATAAAGTACAAGTTTGAAGTCGCTAAAAATTACAATTGGATTTTTTATGGAGAGTGTTGCGCATTTTCTTCCATATAAAAGTCAGTATTCTTCATGCATTATATGGAGGAGAACAGCCTCCACAAAAAAATTCTAAAAAATCAACGGTAATTTATAGCCGTATTTCTCTTACAGAGTTGCATGCAATAATGCTTGCTATTGACCTACTCACAATAGCCGCCTTAAACCATGACCATGTTGAGTAGAAGTTTACAGGTTGAAAAGAATAATGAAATTGTCGAATATACGGGAAAACTCTTGTCCCGGCGGAACATTTCAAATTCAATGCAAAATACGGGACTTCGCGGCAAATACGGGACATTTGGCAACGCTAATTACGACAGCGCGCTATCACTAATACACAATCATCTAAGTACTTCTTATACAAAATAAAATGTGGGTCAATTAGGGTGTCAGCAAGTTATCTCGCGCCAAGTATGTATTTAGATAAAATTGATCCCTGTCGCTGCTAAGAGTTTTTTTTTTATCGCTAAATTCTGTCAAAGACACCCTTTCACGTGATTAAAATTTGTTTCTAATTTGTGTACGATTTTAAATAATGATGTAAGTTTCAAAAAAAGGTAGAATACTGAAGAAACAGAAATAAGACGCCATCTATCTAAAGCATCAAACGAGTATGTTAGTGGCTGTGTAAAAGCAACATAGCTGATGAAAAGTGCAAGGTCTTAATAACACTTTATCTTTCCCTCTAAAGATTTAATTTTTTCATACATTTTTATGTGACAACGGTTGTGCTATATAACCGCAAGCTAATCATATCTCGTACGCATTCTAGTTAGTATTAAATATTCTGTTTTGACTGTTTGTATTAAACAAATAGTCGACAAATAAAGTAATTATGCGTACGTACATATGTATTGTATATACATTAGGGTGTCGCAGCAAAAAAGTTACTGCCGTCTTCACCGAAATTATAAATTTTATTGTAGTTGAAAATTTCCGCCGAAATATTTTTGGAAAATATAAGCATTTAGTACGTAAGCTGCACCGATTTTAAAATACCCTAAAAATTTTCATTTTGATGAAAACCAATTTATTTATAAAAAAGTCGATTTTCCAGCTCACCTTAATATATCCGGCGGCGCACAGTGGTCGGAGAAGCCTTATTTTACGCGAAAAATTATAAAGCTGTTACGATGAAAATGAATTTATGCTCAAATTATGAAATAATAACAGTAATTATATTTGTAAATTAGGTATAGTTGGGCCATCTGCAATATTATCAGCCCAAACAATTTGATCTAGGCCCAAACAGTTTTTTAAGATTATTTTAGTTTATACGAAATTCCAAAATTTCAGTTGCCATTTTTAAATAAAGTTATTCAAGCTTGAATAATCGGAAATTTCAAACGCCATATTGGATTTTGCATTTTAAATTTTCAAAAACTGGCTTGCAATGAGCGAATTTAAGAACCTCTACATAAATACCAAATTTAATGAAAATTCAGTAATTTTTTAAATTATTGGACGCCATATTGGACTCGTTATTGGATTTTTGTAAATTGACTTCAGCTTTGTTAAGACACATCTTATATTTAAATGATGTGATGCTAGATATAGTATAAATTACATAAATCTTTAATATTTTAATAGACTTTATGTTATTTGGAAAAACTGCTGAAGTTGGTCTAGTAAAATAAAAATGGCCACCACTTTTTTTGGCGCCAGTATGCGCGACTTTTCTTTTCGTAGGTCCTCAAAGGGCCCATTGCATTAGTTTTTGGTAAAGGAATGAAGATCCTATTCGGCCCAACTAATTAGTTATACCTTTTTGAAGAAAATATTTCTTGAAAAATAAGCCGTATTATTAAGTTGTTGATAATTTGGCAACCAAGTTTTATTATATAATAAATGTATAAACGTGTAATAACTCCGATGGAAAACCCATACCGATTTTTTTTTTGTATGAAGCGTATGGCACCCTAATGCACATACATGTTTTGTTCTTATGTAAAAGATGTTACTTAATTATCTACTTTGTGGGCTAGCCTATGCTAACTGCTGCTGCTATCGCTAGCTATTCAGTTTGTACCCAATTTTCAGCCTACATTTTCGTGCTCTTCTGACAAGCGCATTTTATTTTCAAAATCAGTTATTAGCTGACATTCGCGGTAAAAAGTCGCAATTCAGTTCACTACTCGAAGTTTAAGTTTGCCATAACTAAGTACTTGTGCATATGTATGCACATCTCTACATACATATTTACATTCTTAAAAGCACTAGCAAGTGACTGGTTACTTACTTAGCTGTGAAATAAATATGAGTGCATACTACTTTAAAGCCGGGGCTAATTCTTAATTGTAGAAGAACGCTAATATTTACTTTGATATATGTGAATGCATACAAATACAAGGAAGACATGTACTATCTTCATTTTCCTTGCGCTTAAGAAAATCTCTAGCATTCACGTTGATGCGAGAGTACCCGTTAAAGACGTTACTGCAGAAGTGAGCTGAAATAAAGTGTTTCTCTCTGTGTGTTTTTTGGAGACTTCTCGTTGTTGGATTTGAATGATAAGAAAAATGCAACTGATTGCTTTGTGAATTGTGAATACCTAATTCTTCTTATGAAGATAAGCGATGCAAATAAAATTTGATGAAAGCCAAAAATATTGAAACGACGCCTGCAGTAGTGAGTCAGAAAAGACTCAGCCTAGCTGTTAAGTGCATTTAGAGAACAAACGATTATCCTAAACTATTTATTTACTTTTGCTTCTCGCAAAAATTTGGTGCCTGAATACATACCTATACAAAAGTGCGTATCAAGTTCCTGTCGGCCATATTGACAATCCAGTATGTATGAAATACCAACAAACTTGTGCTTGGAGTGGAAGAATCTCAATTATCATGTGCCAGCGTCTGAGCAAAGTAATTATGCATTTTGGCAGGAGTGTCGAAAGGTTAAGGAGCAGCGCATACTAAAGGATGGTGCGTATGGGTAAATTTTGGTTTGCTGAGTAATTGGGGGATCTCTGTTTCCATAAAAGTGCTAATTTTAGGCTTAAATGCTTCGTACCAATACGAGAAAGTTTCTGATGGGAAGGAAATAGAAAAATTTTGGTAAACTGAAAATGGTTTTTAAGGATTTTTTTTTTAATTTAGGCCAATGAATTCTTATTTATTATTAAATTTTGCACACCTATTTATTTGTTGAAAAGAAATATAATTGAAAATAAAAAATAAAACAAAGCCGTCAGTCGTCGCCGAAGTCGAGTTTTTTTGAAAATTCGTATTTAGTGATTGATTTGGTTAATTCTGCTTTTTATTTTTTTAAGGCAAAAACAAAAGTTACAGTAATCGGTAATTTTTGCCTTTTATTTTATCAGGCAAAAATAAAAGTGAATGCTACAAATCTAGTATTAAAGAGTTGTGTATATTCGAATGTGATAGTTTTTAAGCTCCTATCTGGATTCTAATAACCCCCTAATACCAGTGGTGGGTTTGAATATTTGTCACCCCTAGGCAATTCAGAATTTGCCGCCCTTTTTCCGATAAGAAAAATATTTTGAGGTAAAAGTACCAGCTTTGGAACTATTAGCAGCAAATAGTAATATTCAAATTTATGTTATTTATCATAGTTTTATTACAATTTAAGATGAAAAAGTGGTATTTGCCTTGAGCAAAAGTTTTTCTGATTGCGTAATTGAATCTCAAATTTATGCCTTAAAAAGGTACAAACACAAATTCCATTTTCAGTGCAGCTTACTTAAAAAAAAAAATTTTTTTTTCAACTCAAATTTTGCTGCCCTAGGCACCTGCCTATGTTGCCTTTACGGTAAATCCGCCACTGCCTAATACCTAAATCCCAGGGTGACATCTAATCTATATACATATATATACATACAATACATGAAGGCATTTTTTTGTTAACGGCTCAGATCTGAACCGACTATTCGTATTTCAAAACTGAGGTGCCAAAATAAAAGGCTTGACCTCTAGTTGAACAATGTGAATTGATCTGCCACCTTTTTCATATTATAAAATCCTTCCCGTTCGTTGTATTAAACAATAAGGTTTTATTCTTTTGAATAGGGTTGCCACCTGCTTAAAAAGTCATAAGACTTACACCGTTAGCGCGATTTTGAAAAATGAGGCGCCATATAGAAGGGCTTGGCCTATAGATCTGCAAGGAAGGACGTCTAATTAAAAAAAAGGTTGGGTTGCACTAGCTGCCAGGCCCAGAGAGCGCCAGCACACTTAGGCCCAGTCACGGTACATTGTGATTTAAAGGTTCATTAAGGGTTACAACCAGTTAAAAATTATAATTTGTTATTTTTTTTGTGCAGAGTATCAGTTGTACTGGCTATCATATGTCAAGCAATAGATATTTGATAGTACTTTTGCACTCCAAAGAATGCGCTTCAGATTTTTTTCGAAGACTTTGACAATTTAGACAGTGATTGAACTCTCCAAAAGATCGGGATGCTTTTAACGACATGTGAAAACATCTTTCTCCTCAGCATTGCAATATAATCTGGACCTCTTCAACCAAACCTTCCGGTTTTTCCCATTTCCGGAAATTGGTAATACACTTTGCACAAAAACTGGACATGGTTTAAGACTTGGGAACGGAAGCATCGTATGGCGACTACAAGTAAAATGTTTCTTATTTCTTGGGGGTTTTTTGAATATTTTTAAGATTTTCTTGGCATTCTTTTAGAATTCTTGGGACTTTTCATAATTTGATTCAGACCTGTTTGGTGATTTTTCGGGACTTGTTCCCAACCTTACGGGATTTTTTGAGCTTACGTTGTTTTTCGTCTGATTTTATTAGATTTAACTTTGGTTTCACTAAATTTTACGACATGTATCTAAAGTGAAAATTATCTATTTATACATTTATAGATTTTACTGGCAGCACACAAAATATAGACAGCGATCTATGCTGCATTCACGTTTAATCGGATGATTTCTTTATCTTCAGTGACCCCAGTAAAATTTCGCCTGTCGAAAAAGTGTTTACGTGGTCTGAGTCCCCTCAGCCAATGACAGTGGCACAGATTTCCGTTTCGTCTCTGCAGCTTCGATATATGGTAAGTCGTCTGTTGGAAATCATCAATGGCCATAGCCTACTGGAAAAATGGGATTCCCAACAAATGACTTCTATTGAAGCTGCCGAGATGAAACGGAATTCGGAAGCGTCGAATACTTTCTCTGCCACTGTCCGGGATTCAGGAAACCATATTGGGTTAAGGGCGCCCGAGAAGAATGAAGACTTTTTGTAGGTTAATATTATCCCTAATCAGCCATAGCGCGGCTTTCTTGATAGTTATCAACTGAGTTTGAAATACAATGCAGTGATCTGACAATCGGAAGCACAATTTGAGTTAAAGTTCCTGCATACACCACTTCCTACCCTCTGCTCCAGCTGGGAGCCATCGGTGTACATGTCAATAGATTTAAAAAAGAGCTTCCAAGACCGTATCTTCCTACTATTCGTTTCTCGAGAGAACCTGTGTGGTAAACCCAGTAAATGTTTGAAGTTAATTTAACATAAAATTGCACCGTAAGACAATAATTTTTTTTTTTTGCTAAAAGGCGGAAACTTTCACATACTGCAAACTAAGAAACTGTGATGAGACGAACCAAAATCCTTTTTGTGTTTGACTATCAGTATTGATACAATGCTTCGGCATTATTTCTTAGAGATATGGCCGCCCTCAGTCATAAAAATAAAAAACTAACAAAAAAATCGGTGCAGAAAGTTTTGCAAAAAAATTTCTACAAAATCTTGTGCAATAATAAATAAACGTTTTTTTAAATGGCAATGTATGACTTTGAAAATTTAATTTAACCTTTGCAATTAAAATAGTTAAAGTGAGAAAAACGAGTTCGAACAAAGGGCTTAACAAAATAGTTTGTTCAATTTTGCGAATAATCCAAAAATTACTTAGAAAAGGATTTACAAAAATTGGCTGAATTGTGTTCTTTTTCTAACTCTCAGTACAAAAAGCTATTAAATCGCTTTTTTGTATAATTTTTAGCCCTTAACTGCAGTCCAAAGTTCTTAGCATTAATGCCATTCACTTTACTCTTCGCAGCTAACAAAAAAAAATTGCTACTCATATTTGTAATTTATGTATATTTTAAACATTACCCCTTTTATCAACGCAGTTAGTGGTCACATACGAACAGGCGATTTGGTGGCCATATTGGGTTGCAGCGGCGCCGGCAAGACCACACTACTCGCCGCGATAGCGCAGCGTTTGCGCGGTAATCTAACCGGCGATGTCGTATTGAATGGCGTCGTCATGGGGCGAGATGAAATGACGCGCATCTCGGGCTTTTTGCCACAATTCGAAATCAATGTGAAGACGTTTACCGCCTACGAACATTTATATTTCATGGTGAGTACGCAGAGTGTGAGCAAAAGTGTAGCTGGCCAAAAGCTCACTGCATACGAAAATTATTTAGATTGCATACAAATATGCACATACCTGTTGCTACTTTGCTCTTTTGTATATGTATGTACTTTAAAACATTCGCTCATTCTCATTCTCCAACCCTTGCAGTCGCACTTTAAAATGCATCGTAAAACAACGAAAACGCAGAAGCGTCAGCGTGTCAATGACCTACTACTCGCTTGTGGATTACGAGATGCGGCCCATACGCGCATACAATCATTATCGGGCGGCGAACGAAAGCGGCTAAGTTTGGCTGAAGAGGTACAAAATGTCGACACGCGCTCACGTACAGACATACACGTTCTTCTAAGAGTGTCTTATCAATACATACCATCATCATAAGATAGCATACGATTTATTGTATTTTTTTTTTCTTTTTGTACTCGTAGCTCATCACCGATCCACCATTCATATTCTGCGATGAACCCACCACCGGCTTGGATAGCTATAGCGCCTATACAGTTATAAAAACTTTACGCCATCTATGCACCCGTCATCGTGTGGCCAAACATTCGCTGACATCTGTTTATGGCGAAGATTCATTTTCCACACCAGCGCACAGCAGCAGTGAGCAAAGCACAAGCCATAACTCCATTGAAATGGAGGTGCTGCAATCCAATGAGAATATCTTGGAATCCCTTAAGGAAATACCCGCGCTCGATGTGCTCAACAATAGCCCCAATGGACGACACAAGAAAGCTATAATTTGTTCTATACATCAGCCCAGTTCGGATATTTTTGAGCTTTTCACACACATTATACTAATGGATGCGGGTCGTGTTATTTTTCAAGGCAGCACAGAGCGCGCTTTTGAGTTTTTTACTAAGTGAGTGAGCTGGCGTTTGACCGTTTCAATGTTAACACTTAAAATGTATTTACATACATATGTATGTATGTGTGTACCCTTTATTTGTTTCAGTTTAGGTTACGTTTTACCACAAAATTGTAATCCAGCCGATTTCTATTTGAAAACCATATCCGATAGCCATACGCAAGGCAAGGACGGTGAATTGATCAAAGCGAAATATGATAATCAGACATGGGGTCGGTACTCGGGCACTTGGCTGTTGCCGCGTTCATACAGTAGTGAATACTTGTACAACATTAAAAATTTGTGAGTATATTGGGGAGTTTTATGTAAAAGTAATAAGCATGTACATTAGGGCGATCCAACCATTTCTTTTCCAAACCTCCGAAGAATATCGAAAATAAGGATAGCCGTATTTTTTGGGGTAAAAAATATTGGAGCAAACGACGGTTTTCGGAAGTTTCGGTCGTTTTCACAACATTAAATTTTCTCAAAAGAATTCAAAAAGACAGATAAGCTGACTTAAATTTTATATAATTTAATGTCTACTGAATTATAAATAACAAATTGAAACTTTTATATTTTTTTCGTCGATTTTTGAAAACCGACTTTCTTAATTTTTTGTCAGCTACCAGCTAAAACTTTAATCAAAAATAAGAAAGCAAAGTATTTTTGTAACGATTACCCGTTATTAACCGACTTCCAAAAAAGGAGGAGGTTATCAGTTCGTCGAAATTTTTTTTTTTTATTTTATTTTTATTTTTTATGTATGTTACCAAATAACTTTTTTGATTTCGATAATTCTTTTTGCATCGGAAAGGTAATGTCTCAGAGGTGGTCCCTTACTAATCTGGTTTAGATCCGATCATTGCATCATGAAATATACATATATATATATATATATTTTGTATATGAGAATTTAAGTCGGTTTTGCTTTTAGCTTAAAAATTACTGGTTTTTCTTACACAAATCGGGTTTTGAAATCCGTTTTTTACGTTTGCTTTGTTTCTTCTTGCAAATGCAAATTAACAAAATTTTTAAATAATCATATTGTTGAAAATCGTGAAGTTAGTAAAATTTTGTTTTTGTAATCATACCAATTCGGGCAGAATTTTTTGAATTCACTTTAAATTTGATTATTAACAGATTCTAACGGTATATACATTTAACTCGACAGTGGCAGACAGCGATACCACTGTGCCGGGGTTTTGAAGTTTTCCATATATTTCATGTGATTTCGCCTACATTTTTTTTGTAGAATTGCTATTGAATCATAAAAAATATATCGAGAGCTTATATTCAATTCAACCTATCTGCAATTTTCAGAAAAATGGGAGCCGTATATGAAAATCCATTTAAACTAACTCGATATATTTTTTGTTCGAATAAAAATATTTCCCTTCCGAAATCTTCAAACAATAAACTTATGATGCATATTTAATTCCAAAATTTTACCAACTTCTTTTTCATAACCGATAATGTCATCTCATATATACAAAAATCAGTTACTTTATGTATGGAAATTTTCAAAGTCCCGGCGGCACGGAGGAATATTAAACGATTATAAATAAAAAAATACGGGTATCCTTATTTTCCATTATCTATAATTCTAGGGATGGCAGCCAAAAAATTCTAAAAAGTGGATTTCTTATGTATTTTTGAACCACCCTAATGCAAATAGACACATTCATATTCAGCATTTTCTAACGCGGAAGTGATGCTTCGAGACGATTTTTTATGAACATACTGCTATTTTACCGAATTTTTATACTCTATAGGAGCCTCAGAATTTGTTTTGAGAAACCTCTGTATATATAGATGTTATAGAATCGACGGCTTTTTCAAGGAAGTGACCACATAGGAGTTCTTAAATTTTAGAATGCATTAAACAAAAGCTCTAGGAC